GAGGCTGAGGCAGGAGAATGACTTGAGCCCGGGAAGCGGAGGTTGCAGTGAGCAAAGATGACCGCACTGCACTCCAGCCTGGGCAACAGAGTGAGACCCTGTCCTGAAAATAAATAAATAAATAAATAAATAACACAAGTTGTTATTGGTTATGAAAGTAACATCTGACCATTATAAGACATTTTAAAATATAGAGAAGTCTGAAGAGTCATGTGCAGATCACCCCTAATGTTACCACCCAGCAGTGACTTCTTTGCATTTTGGCCCACCCCCTTCCACCAGCCCTTTTCCCGCGTATGGATGGTCCTGGGATATTCACTTTGACGTTTTGTTTCTCCATTAACATTATCGCCCAGTGCGGTGGCTCACAACCTGTAATCCCAGTACTTTGGGAGGCCAAGACGAGTGGATCTCTTGAGCCCAGGAGTTTGAAACCAGCGTGAGCAACATGGCAAAGACCTGTCTCTACAAAAAATACAGAAATTGCCCAGGCGTGGTGGCGCGCCTGCTTGGGTGGTGGAGGTGGGAGGACTGCTTGAGCCAGTAGTGAGCCATGATGGTGGCGCTACACTCCAGCCTGGGCAACGAAACAAGACCTTTTCTCAAAACCAAAAAAATAACCCAAAAACGCCATTATTGCTCAGTATTTCCTAATATTAGTAAAAATATTTCCCTTCCACCTACCAGCTTTTGAGCTTTTCACTGCTTCTCAGGTTTGGTGGAGTGAGGCGAAAATAGAATGCATTGCTTGTCCCCATTGCTTGAATACGGAAGCGCGTGTAGTTAACGGTTGACAGCTTTAACAGTTCTCACCTCTGTCTTAGTCACGGCCGGTTCGCCAGTTCCAGGCAGCAGGGTAACCAAGGCCGGGCTGGGAGCTGGAAGCAGCGATTGGTGAATGAGTGGGCACCCGCTATAGAGAGCAGCGGGTGAAGCAAGGCTGGGTTCACCGTGCACCTGGAGACCTCCGGGGGTGCAGGCCCGCATGTCTGTACTCCGAAGCGCAGGAAGTAAACACTGGCACTGATGACCTTCCTGACGTGTGATTCAGCAGCTCCAGATTTGGCATTGCCTCTGGCTCAGCACATCAGACACAAATCTTCAAGAATGTGTTCATTACGGGAGAACAAATTTTAAGAATGAAATTATCAGTCATTCAAATTGCGGTCTAGGCACTCTGGAGCACGCTAGACCTTAAAGGTTTCCTGCAATGAAGGATGGCCCTGTGCCCTGTAAGGAACAAAAGCAGGTTGTAGGACAGAGCTGTGGTAGAGGTGCTTTTTTGCTCATTGTTTTGTTTCTGGCAAAAAAAAAAAATGAGTGGGAGTGTGTGTATGAGCACACACAGGCTCCTGACTTTTATGAGGTTTTGGAAAGATGGATATCAAACTTTTAGCAGTGATTTCCCCAGACCTACAAAAGTGTTCAAATATAAGACTTTTTTTTTTTTTTTACAGTGAGTAGGAATTACTTTTGTAATTAAAAATACATCAAAACATGAAAAAAATGTATGATTTTGGGCCAGTTATTAGAATCTTGTATTGCAGGTTTGTACTTACAGGGCATAAATGGAAGGATATTTATTGCAGAATCACTTGTGAGAGCTAAACACAAAACAGACCGTTTATCAGTAGGGCTGGATGGGGCAGTTGGAGACGCCCGTTCCGTGGAGTGGCATGCGGCTGTGGAGAACATGCACATCTATCTGCTGCAACATGAGCTGCTGTCCAAGAGATTTTATTCTGCCGAAAAACCAGGAGCAGGAAAATACGGATGATATGACTCTACTTAAAATGAAGTTCATGTAGGCCGGGTGTGGTAGCTCACGCCTGTAATCCCAGCACTTCGGGAGGCCAAGGCAGGCGGATCATCTGAGGTCAGAAGTTCAAGATCAGCCTGGCCAATGGGGCGAAACCTCGTCTCTACTAAACATACAAAAATTAGCCAGGCATGGTGGCGGGCGCCTGTAATCCCAGCTACTCGGGTGGCTGAGGCAGGAGAATCACTTGAACCTGCGGGAGCAGAGGTTGCAGTGAGCTGAGATCCCACAACTGCACTCCAGCCTGGAAACAGAGCGAGACTCCGTCTCAAAAATAAACACTCTGTCTCAAAAATAAATAAAATAAAGTTCATTCAACATTTGAATTAAGAAAACCATATAAAACTACTGTGTCTATATGTCAGAATAGTTGAATATCGGTTGTTCCATGTGGTTCAACCTAAAATATATGCAAAGTTCGGAGAACATGAAACTTAACCATTTATAGTCTTCAGGAAAGAAGGCTGTTAGAAATATGATCTTTTGAAAGGCCACATTTCTATAATACCACAATTTTTCCCAGTAAGCATGAGTCGTGTTGGTAACGTTAAGTAGAGAATAAAAGCAGGTGATAGTGTCGGTGTGAGCTCACACCTCTGGTCTTGGCCTGAGAGAGGCCTGGGCTCTCCTGCCAACCTTAATAATGAAAAATGAACCAAACCCTAGTAAGAAAGAAAGAATTGGCATCCCTGGTGCCCGTAAGATTTCTGGGACATCTGCCTTGGAACCCATTCAGAGGGGAAGCTGCTAGGTAGGGCCAGAAGAAAGTTTTGTTTGTGGTTTTACATGATTTCATCTTATTTTGGGGAGCAGGGGTGGGGCAAGGCTGGGTTTGGGACAAGGTGCTTTTTTCCTAAGGTGGCAATAGCATGTTCACTTTTAGGATTGAGTTAGCTCTTTTAGGCATCACATTGACCAGAAATCACTTGTTTTCTTCCAGATGAGGAGCGCTTTGCCCCCGGCAATGGGGCCCTCTAAGTGACACAGTTATTGGCAGGGTTAAGGAGAAAACAGAACACCATGGTTTTCCAGGGATGTGGGAAAGTGGCTCCCTAGAGAACTCACCTTCCACCAGGCTCAGGGTCAGCCTCCTGAAATGGCGCCACTTTGCCTTACATTCAACTGCTTTGATGTGCGGGGTGTTTGGGGGCCACACAGCCTGGGAGGAGCCAGTCCTGCCAGGAGGCCTGTTCAAAACCTGAGGTCACCTCTGCCTGCCTGGTGTGCCCCCTGTACTTTTCTGTAAATCCTGTAGAGGGAGACAAAGAGTTACTTTTCCCTGTGACAAAAAAATGCAGGGACGGTGGCTGGTAGCCTTGACTGTTGGTACCCCGTGCCTTCTAAGAATTCTTATGTCCCTGTTGGATATTGTACTGGGTCAAGTGCATGGACTACTGGTGCTCTATTAAATCTAGTGCATGTTTAATTATTATCCCAAAAGAATCTGTCATCATTAATTAAAAATGTGAAGAAAACATTAAAATGTTGAATGAGGAAAAGGATCGTGTCTAATCCCAGTACTAAATTTCACTCACCTTGGACAAGGATCTCCAGTGAATTTCATCAACTCGTCAGTAGCTGGGGAGGCCTTGATAAAAGTGAAATTGGGCAGAGCACCTATCTCCGATGGTTTTCAAACCTCAGGAACAGAAAGCGGATGTGGTCATTATTAATATTGAGATCATTAGAATTCGTGTACTTCTTACGCTGCGTATTCCCGCTTGTTTCCAGGTTGGGCACTTTTGGGTTTTGTTTCCCCAGGATGCAGCCGGGTGTGCGTTTTTTGGTGCATCACGTTTTTTAAGGTGTGCTGTGCCCTTTCACCCCGTTGTGTAACTTAGGTGATGACCCACGTGCGTGTGAAGGTTTTGGCTGGAGGTGGAGGGTGGGTTGGTAGAGAACTGACAGTTGAAAAGGGATGTTTTCTGAAAAATCATGAAAGCCTTATTATTCACAGGTCCTCGAGACAGCAGCAAGATGGGGATTCTGTACATCTTGGTCCCCAGCATCGCAATTCCACTGGTCATCGCTTGCCTTTTCTTCTTAGTCTGCATGTGCCGGAATAAGCAGAAGGCATCTGCGTCCACACCGCAGCGGCGACAGCTGATGGCCTCGCCCAGCCAAGACATGGAAATGCCCCTTATTAACCAGCACAAACAGGTCTCCGTGCTTACGTATTCCACCTGGGTGGCTCTGCCAGGCTTAATCCTCAGGGGTTGTTCCCCCGACATTAACTGTCTTAATTTACTTGATACATAACACATAATTATTTTAAACTCCGCTTCATTTTGCCATTTTTTTTCTGTAAACTAGATCAGGACATGTGTGTTTTAGAAAATAAATGGCAGGCGTGTTGGGAATTCACTGCCCCAGAGTTCATGGGCTTCCCTCTGCCTGGACCGTGCTGCCCCTGTGGGCCCCAACGAGCATCCTCACTGTCCAGGTGCCTCAGCTCTGCCCAGAAGACACACAAGAAAAAGAGGGCTCCAGTGCCCCCCCATAATTTCTCTTGTCACTTTTGGGTTGGGTTGGTTTTGCTTTGTTTTGTTAGAGGGAAGGATAGAAGAAGAGCTCTTAAATGGGAGTAGGCAGACAGGTTACCACTAAAAGGCCACCCCTCATCCCAGAGCAGCCTTAGATGGGAGTGGGGCACTGAAACACAACAGAAGGGAACGTGTGCTGCAGCCTCTCCAGCTTGTGTTGTACCAGGGTGTTTACACTCATTGCAAAGCCGCAGGGAACATCATTCTCAGCCAGCTTTGCAGCGGCTCTTCAAGGTGGCCAGGAGGGAGCTGATGCACTTGGCTCTTCAGCCCCAGAGTCAGTGCGGGTTTGCTGTGGGCAGGGGCTGGCCAGCGAGGCGAGCACAGAGCCCTGGGGCTTGCATGGTGGCCCAGGAACCTCTGGGGAGGATGAGGGCTGGCCACACAGGAGGAGCTGGCGTCACAGAGACTGAGAGAGATGAGGGTTCTCAGGGCTCCTATCACTTGTGGGGTACTCCTTCCAAGAACATGTTTAACTCAGACCTCTGTAGAACAACTCGGCATTGGAGGGGACCTGATGGGGTATGTCCGGGGCTGCCCCAGGACAGCTGGTGCCTGGGCCTGGCTGTAGGGGGGGTGTGTGGGTGTGTCCACACATGCACAAGTGGGAAGGAAGTCTGCAGTGTGTCCCAGCTGGATTTTGGAGGGACCTTATGTGTAGCCTGGTTGGGATCTGTTGAACATTGCAGACGGGAAGCAACCTTGGCATCAGAGCCGTATTTAAGGTGAAGCAGAGAGCTGTGGGTGGGCAGGCCAAGGCTGGGTGGGTGAAACCAGAGGGTCTCCTGCAAGGCCCCCCCAGTCGTGGCCGCACGGGGACTCCACTCCTCCGGGCTGCTCTGCACCTCCCTTCAGGGCTGCGGTGACAGTGATGTTTCACGTGGGGCTTTTCTTCTTGACAGGCCAAACTCAAAGAGATCAGCCTGTCTGCAGTGAGGTTCATGGAGGAGCTGGGAGAGGACCGGTTCGGGAAAGTCTACAAGGGCCACCTGTTTGGCCCCGCCCCGGGGGAGCAGACCCAGGCCGTGGCCATCAAAACACTGAAGGACAAAGCAGAGGGGCCCCTGCGGGAGGAGTTCCGGCACGAGGCCATGCTGCGAGCACGGCTGCAACACCCCAACATCGTCTGCCTGCTGGGCGTGGTGACCAAGGACCAGCCCCTGAGCATGATCTTCAGCTACTGTTCGCACGGCGACCTCCACGAATTCCTGGTCATGCGCTCGCCGCACTCGGACGTGGGCAGCACGGACGACGACCGCACGGTGAAGTCCGCCCTGGAGCCCCCCGACTTCGTGCACCTGGTGGCACAGATCGCGGCAGGGATGGAGTACCTCTCCAGCCACCACGTGGTTCACAAGGACCTGGCCACCCGCAACGTGCTGGTGTACGACAAGCTGAACGTGAAGATCTCAGACTTGGGCCTCTTCCGAGAGGTGTATGCCGCCGATTACTATAAGCTGCTGGGGAACTCGCTGCTGCCCATCCGCTGGATGGCCCCGGAGGCCATCATGTACGGCAAGTTCTCCATCGACTCGGACATCTGGTCCTATGGCGTGGTCCTGTGGGAGGTCTTCAGCTACGGCCTGCAGCCTTACTGCGGGTACTCCAACCAGGACGTGGTGGAGATGATCCGGAACCGGCAGGTGCTGCCCTGCCCGGACGACTGTCCCGCCTGGGTGTACGCCCTCATGATCGAGTGCTGGAACGAGTTCCCCAGCCGGCGGCCCCGCTTCAAGGACATCCACAGCCGGCTCCGAGCCTGGGGCAACCTTTCCAACTACAACAGCTCGGCGCAGACCTCGGGGGCCAGCAACACCACGCAGACCAGCTCCCTGAGCACCAGCCCAGTGAGCAATGTGAGCAACGCCCGCTATGTGGGGCCCAAGCAGAAGGCCCCGCCCTTCCCACAGCCCCAGTTCATCCCCATGAAGGGTCAGATCAGACCCATGGTGCCCCCGCCGCAGCTCTACATCCCTGTCAATGGCTACCAGCCGGTGCCGGCCTATGGGGCCTACCTGCCCAATTTCTACCCAGTGCAGATCCCAATGCAGATGGCCCCGCAGCAGGTACCTCCTCAGATGGTCCCCAAGCCCAGCTCACACCACAGCGGCAGCGGCTCCACCAGCACAGGCTACGTCACCACGGCCCCCTCCAACACGTCCGTGGCGGACAGGGCAGCCCTGCTCTCAGAGGGCACCGAGGACGCACAGAACGCCCCAGAAGACGGGGCACAGAGCCCCGTGCAGGAAGCAGAGGAGGAGGAAGGCTCTGTCCCAGAGACTGAGCTGCTGGGGGACAGTGACACTCTGCAGGTGGACGAAGCCCAAGTCCAGCTGGAAGCTTGAGTGGCACCAGGGCCCAGGGTTCGGGGACGGAAACCCCGCTGAGACCCCACAGGGACCTCAGTCGCCTTTGAGAAGACACCATACCCAGCAATCACGAGAGCCCGCCGGCCAGCGGGCTTGTTTACAGACAGGGTGAGGTGGAGCCCTGCTCCTCTCTGTCCTCTGACACAGACAGCTGTCCTGCCTAGGAGCACCCAAGCCAGGCAGGGGGCCTGGTAGCACGGCATCCTGAGGAGCAGGACACATGGTCACCCCCAGGGCTGCCTACATTGATTCTGGTGGTAGACTGGTAGTGAGCAGCAAATGCCTTTCAAGAAAATAGGTGGCAACTTCACTCCGTGTCGTATTTGGAGCGAATATTTCGGAACGTTGGGAATAAGGGCCTGCAAAAGGCAGCGAGGAGGCACCTCGGTCTTGAGGTTCCCGACAAGCCATCTGGTCTGTTGCTTTGAGGATGAAGGGGCTCCATTTCTGCTGCCTCCCTGCCAAGAATATTCTCCCTTTAGCAGCCAAAGATTCGTTGGAACCGAGGCTGCCCTCTGCTGCCTGTTGGGGTCGGAAGACAAGGGGCTCCTGAAATGGGAGTTCCTGAGATACAACAAAACGTGTGCCTTCGAAGAAATGGACAGCTTTGTGTTTGGTGAAATGGTTTTAATTATACTGCATGTGTATTTTGCCCACTTTTTGGGAATTCAAGGGAAAGTGTTTCTTGGGTTTGGAATGTTCAGAAGAAGCAATATTGTACAGAACACAGTATTGTTATTTTTTTTTAAGAATCATGTACAGACCTTAAATGTAATTTATATGTTTTTAATATGCCATTTTCATTGAAGTATTTTGATCCTAAGATAATGATTTTAGTAATTTAACTGTTTACGTTACCCGTGTTGGGATCCAGCTGGTCTTGGTTTGCTTATCTTTGTACCACGTGCACAGGAGGTCCATTCATTTTACAGCCCCTGTTACACACAGACCCACAGGCAGCCGTCTGTGCCCCGCACACATCGTTGGTCCCATTTGTAAATCCCACACCTGGTGTATCCAATAAAGTGAAACAAAGCATTTGGTTGACTCTCTTGCAGGCTGTCAGGACGCGAGGCAGCGGGAGGCAGTGCTGGACGATGGAGATGCTGAATGGTGATGATTCGGGCTGAGCCCTTTCTGTGGGTTTGGGAGGTTTGCCCCGAGCCAGGAGCCCCAAGCTAATGGGGGTATCCCTTGGCAGATAAATGATGGAACTAGTCCGTAGCTTCTCTCTGTTAAGGTCTCGAATGTGGATTAGTTAATTGCAGATGGTGTGAAGATGGTCTTTGGTTTTAAACTTGTCCCCTCCTGAGGTCCCAGAGCCCCTGAGAGTTTTAAACCTGGAGCCTGGCACTTCTGGGGGCCCTGGAGCAGGGCTGAGTTCAAGGGAGGGGGTGAAAGAGAATGGGACTCCTTCACAGGCTGCCTGCATCCCCTGCTCCATCTCCAGTGCAGTTGGCTGGTCCAAGGTACACCTGGGTCAGAGCACAGCTGTTACAGGGTCACCTGGGGAGAAGTGGCTTCAGAGCTTCCAGTCTAACTGGTGTGGAGAGAGGACGCAGAGACTCGGGTGTAACAAGTCCCCTCACTTGGAGTAGATCCCACATAGTAGGTCATCAAACGGACCATGTCGACCTGAAATCTTGTCATAGGGGAGAAATCTTTCTCTTTTCTTTTTTTCTTTTTTTTTTTAGACAGAGTCTCGCTGTGTTGCCAGGCTGGAGTGCAGTGGCACGATCTTAGCTCACTGTAACCTCCACCTCCCAGGTTCAAGCGATTCTCTTGCCTCAGCCTCCCAAGTAGCTGGGACTACAGGCATGCGCCACCATGCCCGGCTAATTTTTGTATTTTTAGTAGAGACGGGTTTCACCACATTGGCCAGGATGGTCTCGATCTCTTGACCTCGTGATCCACCCGCCTTGGCCTCCCAAAGTGCTGGGATTACAGGCATGAGCCACCGCACCCGTGGTAACATCTTTTTCTTACCCACTGCAAGGCTCATGGCTGAGGCCCCTATAACAAAAGACAGCTTAATAAGAGAAAAGCCTCAAGCGACCCAAAGAAGCAGGGAAGCCTGGGTATTTCCATACCAAGTTTGGTGGAGTGGACAGGCACGCAGAAGTGTGATTGGACAAAGGGATGTGACCAATGGCCATAGACCGGGGCGGGGGCTTGTTTGCCGGCTTGTTTGTTCAGATTCTTTTCTTTGTCCCTATATCTTCAGAGATAAGGAGCTTCCCTTCCTCCTGGCAGAGGGAGGGCACCTCTGGAATGAGGGTTTTACGGCCTGTCTGGGAGGAGAAGGGTGGGAGAAGTTGAGAGAGACCTTCCTGTTTCTGTGGCTTCCTCAAATGCCAGGTGCCACTTTTTGGGGGATCACGTCCTGACCCCATCACTGTCCTCCCCTGGCTTGCGCATAGCGCTGCTCACGGATAGATTCACCCACACACAAATAAACAAGTACAGAGTTCTAATGTGCATCCTAAAAAGTCAGGATGGACCTCCCTTCCCAGCAGGAGCAAGAAATGTGATGAGTAAGGATTTGGAGCACCTCTCCCGGCCAGTGGGGTCTGGATTGAAAAGTAAAGAAGCTCGCGGTGAAATGGAGTTACTTCTCATTTCCACTGAGCTGAAAGAGGAACTTCCTTTATCTCGAATTTGGTACACCTGATGGCTTAACTGTTGCATGAAGACCTGAGAGTGAAAAATGGGAAATAGCCCCCCTGTGGCTGCTTTCTCCACAAGCAGTCAGTTGACCATCACCCTGCCCTGCCAGAATTAGCCCCCCGGCAACTGACAGTGCTGCAGACACTCTGCAGAAAAACGTTGGGAGGTTTATTTTTGCAGAGTGGGGGAAGATTTTGGCTTGGGGGATTTTGAACATCTCTGTGTGTTACCATTATTAAGTAAAACCTTGATGCATCGTAAGATTACTGAGTGTTTAAAGTTCCTGCAATTGATCAATAGCGACTTAGTTGGGATGTTCCGGAACAATTGACTCTAGAGCTGAGACGCACGATTCAGATAAATCACTAGTAACGTGCCTGTCCTTGTTCATACCCACACAACAGGCAAGTTTTTACAGCTATTAAGTCACTTAAACGTGATTTTTGATCCAGCCAGTATGAACTCACAAATGCCTTTGCACTCCGTATATTTTTTGATCATCATTGTTGCAACAGTCTGTCAGAGCACTGGACACATTTTTCTCTGTTGATTTAGGGTGCATGGCTGACTACTGCAGTACACAAGAGCTTCCAGCTGACTCAGGAAAATCCCTTGGTTCTCCCAACATGTTTAAACACTCAATTCAGGTTTAGTTTGACCTCACAGTTCCACACCGATAGCTATTTTTGGACAGTTTGTGATCTGATGTTTGAAACAAATCTTGCACAGGCATTGGTTTTATGTGTTTCCTAGGGGAACATCTAACATCCTTTCTGAGATGAACTTTGAAAAGGGGGTTGTGTCAAAGTCAGCGTGCTTCAAAGTAGATCTCTGACCCTCTCCTCGCCACGGCCAGTCCACATGAACTTCCTAAGACCATTTGTCCTCCCCCCCAACACACTCTCCTCCCTCATCATTCCCCAGAGTAGTAGAGATTGCAAGTATTTCTTGGCCTGGCTCTTGGTGGGCGTCCAATGATTGGCTCTTGAAATAAAAGAGCAATGCTCTATTTAGGGAGAGAAGGTCTGGGTGTAGGTTTACCTGATACCAGCTGCAAAGAAGGACATAGCCTCGTCGTCCTTACAGTGCCGTGTTCCTTTTCATTTAACCTATTAATTACTGAGTAGCTGACGTAGTCCTATAGTTTAAAGATGCCAAGGGAAGTTCCACCCCTCATTTGCCCAGATTTCGCTCCACCCTCCCCCTACAAGTAACTGCTGTTACCTGTTTCTGAGGGATCTTCCCAGAGTTCCTTTATACACATGTAAGTCAATATACACGTGTGTTCTTCTAGTTCTTCCTTGACTTTTTTGCACAAACGGGAACCTTCTCTACAACTTGTTTTCTGCCTTGCTCTTTTCACTGGACCGTGTGTTGTGGTGACCTCAGCTTGTTAGTGGTAGGGAGCTCTGGTTCATTAGTATTCTGTGGTAGGGGTGGAGGGAACTTGGTTAAACCCGTTGTTCACTGCCGCTGTGGAGTCTGCGAGTGTCTGCTGGAGACATCCCCAGAGTGGCTTTGCTGGGGAATGAGCTGCCAGTCATCAGCGCCACAGTGCTGTCCGTGGGGCTTGGCCAGTGCACACAGCCACCAAGACACCGGAGAGTGCTGGCTCACCCAACCCTGGACTGCTGTTCACATCTCTGCCCAAGGCAGCTGCCCACGGAGGGCCTGGGGACACATGGCTCAGCTCTCATGCATGCTTTTTAAAAGACAGGGCAAGTTGGCATCTTAAGCTCATTGTTTTTTACACAAATTTGTCCTGTTCATGCTCCTTCTGAGTCAGGTGTTTAGTGAAAATGTTGCCCAGAAGCAGAGAGGTGTATCAAACCATCCACTGGGCATTGGAAGGCCCTTGGGCATCTGCAAGTACCCAGGGGAGGCACCAGAAGGAAGTGACTGTGTCCCTGGAACTTCAGAAGCCAACTGTTACACCCCTCTAGGATGGCAGCTACAAGCCCCGTCCCACACCCAGGATGGCAGCTACAGCCCGCCCCCCCCCGCCACAGGATGGCAACTTTAACCCCTCCCAGGCAGCTACAACCTCCCCAGGATGGCAGCTACAACCTCCCCAGGATGGCAGCTACAACCTCTCCCAGGATGGCAGCTACAACCTCCCCAGGATGGCAGCTACAACCTCTCCCAGGATGGCAGCTACAACCCCCCAGAACAGCAGCTACAATCTCCCCAGGAAGGCAGCTACCACTGCCCCCAAGATGGCAGTTACAACCTCCTCCCCCAGGGTGGCAGCTACAACCCCCTCGAGGATGGCAGCTACAGGTCCCCCAGGAGGGCAGCTACAACTCCGATAGGATGACAGCTATAACCCCCCCACACAGGATGGCAGCTACAACCCCCTCAGGATGGCAGCTGTAACCCCCCAGGATGGTAGTTACAACCCCTGCCCCCCCCAGGATGGCAGCTATAACCCCCCAGGATGGTAGCTACAACAGTGCTCCTCCCCCCAGGATGGCAGCTACAACCTCCTCCCCCAGGGTGGCAGCTACAACCCCCTCGAGCATGGCAGCTACAGGTCCCCCAGGAGGGCAACTACAACTCCCACAGGACAGCAGCTGC